GATGACACTTGTCCCTAGACCAGAGCTGATTGTACCAGACACTACCAAGCTGTGGAATGAAAAGCAATTGGAATTGGAATGAATGAAGAGCCCTAAAGTATCACCAGTTAATCAATTTCAATTTTAATAGCTAATGAATAAACCTCAGGTAATAGTTTGGATCTGCAGCTCTTGGCTGAATGACATTTCAGCATCCTGTGGATTATGGATTGCTTTTCTGCATTCACTCAGACACTCGCAATCTTTTTTTGCTGCTGACACAGATAATGATTTGGTCTGGCTCCATCCCTGTTGCAGCTCTAGAATATAAAAGAAACGCAGGGAAAATGTCAGGTATCCTTTTTATTCCAGTGATCACAGGAGCCATGTGTGCTCCTCACCTGGAAAGCCTGGATGGGTGCAGTGGTTCTATCCACACAACCACCACAATAGCCCACTGTGCTTTGAGAGGGAGATAACTCTCCTACCGCTCATTTAAGGAGAAATGGGGCCAAAGGACTTGTACTTACTTACACGAGTGGTAAAACTGGTGCAATGATATTACATTACATTGCATTGAACATACCTAAAGATTTTGACAACTCGTAGATTCACAATATACACAGACAGCAGGGTCCCTTGGCGAAAAAATAGGTTGGGGGGAGGTGGGTTTCTAGGGAATCTCTGTGCGTTTGTGTACCTATGCAAAGACTGCCAACGATGGGCTTTCCATGCATTGCTGAGCACTAAAATCAGGGATCTACTCCATAGCACAGCCACTGCCAGTGCCAACTTACAGGAGGAAAAAGCACTGAGTGGAGTCATGAAGCTCTCTATACTGCCCTACTGCCCATTTGGTCCTAAGGCAGCGATTCTCAACTGAGGTGATGTGAGATCCTTTTAAAGGTGTTGTGGGGGGCCATACAGTATTAGCACCATTCGGTACCACTTACACATGAGGTGAGGTGAGGTGAACCCAGAGATTTTGAATAGCAATCCATAGCATCATAAACATTTCACCTGTTGTAGTCTTTCTGAGTGTTTGCAACAGAAGAATCGCTCCATTATTTTTCTGTAGTCAAAAAATGAATGAAGCTAGTTTTTGAAAAGAAGGCACCCCTCTGCAACTTTTCTGAATTTACTAGCACCTGAGTTTAAAAGGGATTGAGAACCACTGTCCTAGGCAATGCATCCCCAAAACAAATCTGTCTTGGATTGCAAAGAATAGTAAAGCCCCAAACACAAAATTTTGGGGAAAATAATGGAGCATTTTAATTAGTTTTCTTTCTGAGGTCTTCCTACTTCCTTAACAGAATCCATGTGGTATCCTCAAATTCAGTGATTCTCAACCAGGGTGCTGCAGAACCCTAGGGTATTATAAGAACCTTTTAAGCATGCCATGGGGTGCCATACAATATTGGCACTCTTAGGTGTGCAAACACCTACATAATTCACAAGATAAATCCTGAGATTTCAAACAGGAAACTATAGCATCAGAAACAGTCTCACCTGTTTCGAGAGACAGACCTCTTTTGGTGGAATAGGAAATGAAAGTGCATCTTTCTTCAATGCAACCACAAATTCAAGATATTTGCAAGGGTTACTAAGCCCAAGTGTTTCATCAATTATAATGTTATGGTTATTCACATGTGTTTTTCCTATTGTTCTAAAAATGTGTTTCCAATCATACATGGTTGTACAGCTCCTAACATAGCTAATTCAGGACTGGGTTGCTAGGAATTACTGCAGTGCAAATGAACAAGCAATAATTTGGATATTTTTGAGGGAAAAGGGCAGGTGTCAACTTCCCTATACCCATGTAACATGATAATGTTTCTTTATAATATAGAATCTGTAAATTAAATGAGGACTCCCAACTATCATACATTAGGCCTGGAAAAGGAGTCAGAGGTAGGGAAGACACATTATTTTATCTGTTTTTATGAGACAGTTTAAAAGTAAAGTCTAGCCCACATTTCTCAGGAAAAAGCATATGCTTAGTGTTTGCATTTAAAACACCATTAAGATAAAAAAGTCGGTGAAGAGGGAGATACCAGACATGTAGACCTGTGTTTCATAGAATCATAAAATAATTTAAAATTAGGGTTGGAAGGGATCTCAGGAGGTCACACCTAGTCCAAGCCCCTGCTCAAAGCAGGACCAACCCCAACTAGATCATCCCAGCCAAGGCTTTGTCTAGCTGGGCCTTAAAAGCCTCCAAAGATGGAGATTCCACAATGTCTCTAGGTAACTTGTTCCAGTGCTTTACTTTGCTAGTGAGAAAGTTTTTTCCTAATATCTAATCTAAACTTCCTTTACTACAACTCGAGACCATTGCTCCTTGTTTTGTCATCTGCCACCGCTGAGAATAGTCCAGCTCCATCCTATTTTGAACCTCCTTTCAGGTAGTTGAAGTCTGCTATTAAATCCCCTCTTGGTTTTCTCTTTTCCAGACTAAACAAGACCACTTCCCTCAGCCTCTCCTCCTAAGTCATGTGCCCCACTCCCCTAAAATTTTGCATTGTCTTCCTCCGCTTGTCCACATTCTGTAGTGGGGGGCCCAAAACGGGACAATCGTACTCCAGATGTGGCCTCACCAGTGGCAAGTGGAGGGGAACAATCACTTCCTGTGATCTGCTGGCAACCTCCTATTAATGCAGCCCATTATGCCATTAGCTGCCTTTGCAACAAGGGAATACTGGTAGCTCATAATCAGCGTACTGTCCACTGTAACCCCCAGGCCCTTTTCTGCAGAGTGCTGCTACTTAGCCAGTTGGTCCCCAGCCTGTACTGGTGCATGGGACTGTTCCATCCTAAGTACAGGACTTTGCACTTGTCCTTGTTGAAAACCTCATGAGACTTGTTTTGATCCAATCTTCCAATGTATTGAGGTCTCTCTGAATCCTACAGCCCTTCTCTCCAGAATATCTACTACTCCCCCCAGCTTGGTGTCATCTGCAAACTTGCTGAGGGTGCACTCCATCCCATCTTCCAGGTCACTGAGGAAAACGTTGAAGAAATGATTTTCACTTTGGAACTGGCTGAAATAAGATTAAAAACCAGAAGAGTCTGTACCCTGGATCCTCAGTTCCCAACAATTCCAGGTCTAGCAAAGGAAACAAAGCATGTTTGCCTTTTGGAGAACAAAGGAGCTGGTATAGTTTCCCCACCTCAATTTTGGGACTTGGTGGATTCTAAAAAAAATGTGTCTTGATACTAACCAAGGAAGTCCAGGACTGATTCTGCAAATGCTTCTGGTTATACTTGAAATCAGTGGGACTGGTATTCAGGTGAGGTTAAGCCTCTTTGTGAGTGACCATAAGCTTGGGCCTGTGCAGTTTCAGTTGGAGCTTAGTAACGGACCAGTTGATGCCCAGATTCAAAGACGCACAAAAGCACATAGTTAAATTCTACTGAATGTTTTATCTGCTGGGGTTAGTTACTTGTGGCTCAATCCTGCTCCATTGAACCAAAGGGAAGCTATTTCATTGAATGGTGGGAGCAGATAAGACCCCAAAATACTTTTGTTCTGCTTTTTCCTTTTGTGAGCTCTGCAGAGCCAGCCCCGCTATAGGGGAGGGAGCTGGGATCAGTTCCTCCTCATGCACCAGCAAGGTTGTTAACTGCGCTTGCATCAATTCCACTTGTGCAGACCCTTGGAGGGCAACAGGTGCCGCTGAGGGTAGAGCTGGAAGACACCAGGGGAGCTCTAGAGTCACTCAAGGTCTAATTTGGCCTGAAGAACCACATCCATTGGTGGTGATGTGAGAAGGAAAGACCTTGGCTTGATTCGCAGCTCCTAGGCTGATAACAAAGGGCTGATGGGTAGGAAAAGCACCTTTTCACTTAAAAACAGAACAGATTTCTTCTGGGGAGATGGGTTAAAGGTCCCTGTGGAGCTCTGCCATGCCATTTTTCACTGACACTTCATACAACAGCAGGACAGATCCTGTTATTGTTATTCTTCTGTCACTGTATTTCTCTTCAGGCACGTACTCAGACTGAGCACCGCACCAGTGCTATTTTGTGAAATTGCCACCGGAGGTATGCACACGAGCTTGCTCACTTAAACACACAATTAACCATACTCAACAAGCATCAGACACTCAATGAAATTCACTGGAGACATGGCTACTTATTTTACTCAGAAGGTGCTGGACAGCAGGATAAAATCTGGAGGAAGAGAAAGAGATGAAGGCAAGCTTTGCTTCCTGGTGAACTGTCACTCCCCTCACCCCAGCAACATTAAAGGCACCACAAAAACTGCATTAATGGGACCACCAGATGGGAGAAGTTGATTCTATTTTAATGAGACCTTTGTGCGGCAGGAGCGTGGAGTGTGGCACAAGAGAGGAAAGCAGGTGGTTTCTTCCTTTAAGAAGCTGCCTGGGGTGTGGTCTATGTCACTGTTTTGAGACACAGTACAAGATATAGGCTTGCAGTCCTTCTGGAGGAACTGTTGTAAATACAAGAAGATAATGTATTTGAGGAGAAGAAACCCAGTTTTAATAACAGCTTTGACAGCAATTTGAACACTTATTTCATGTGATTTTTCCCCTACCACCCTGACCCCTTTTCCCATTACAGTTTGGGTGATGAGTTGCAGTTATGACCTGTGCAAAAGCTATAACATCCTACCTGGCAAATACTGCTGTAAGAGAATACACTTTATACATTTATATTGGACCTGGGACTGGGAAGGGGGAGGGGGGCTGGGGAATGCTAAGCAGTTAAATTTACATTTTACATTTGTACACCAGTTCAGATGGAATGGCTCAAATAAAACAAATATATATATTTTATATATACAAATATATAATATATATATCTATGTGGGCAGATATATATATATATCTCTTTCAAAAGGATAAAAGGTTAAATAAGTCTTTGCATGCACAACCAAAACCTCTGCTCCACACAACCACAAAAGTTAGCTAAGGCTCAGCACTGGAGCGAACTGCAATCAGGTCACTCATCACTTGTC